GGTTGGGCGAACTCCCATGCACCCTCCAGGACCCTGCTGAGGGTGTAGAGCTGGTCCAGTGTTCCACGACCAGGACGAAAACCACACGGCTCTTCCTGAATCCGAGGTTCGACTATCCGACGGACCCTCCTCTCCAGGACACAAACTTTCTCCTCATAAATATTAAATCTGGAATAATGAGAACATTAAATATAAAAACAAGTCAATTTTTATAGGAATTGGTATGAAAAAGGAATATTACTTGTAAGTCAACTATTGAACTCAAATGGTCACTTATTATCTTATTCTGGTTTTATGTCACACTTTCAATTTCCTGTTACAGCTAAAGAATATGCTGCGGTGTTTGATGTAAGTGGGGGATTAAAACTTTGCCATCTGTACCTCAATGTAAAGTTATTTTAATGCCAAGTTTTGATCCAAGTTCTATTTATATTGACTGTGACTGTCCTTTCATGAGTTAGAAAACAAGAAACAAAAGGTTGAGAGATAATCTCTTAAGAGACACCATTTCTTCTCCTTCCTGCATATCTTATTGGTCCAGTGTCTTCGGAAACATAAACTGGACTTGGCTACTTCCAAAAACAAAACAAAACAAAACAAAAAACACCTAAAAAATAATAAAGTCAAAGAAGTTTCCTTCAAAATTATACACAACTGCTCTCCTGTCGAAGCATTTTTGATAAAAAAAGATATATATGGGACTTGGACCCCACGTGTACTTTGTGTGAAACTTATGAAGAAAACCTTGTTCATCTATTTTGGGATTGCTGTAACACCAAAATATTCTGGAGAGATATGACCAATTGTTTTTCATCAATTGAAAATAAATGTAACATTAACAGATAAGACTGTTATACTTGGAATGGAGAGTGACCTTGTAAATTGAAGAATCTTTACATATTAACTTTTTTATCATTTATGGAAAATATCACATTCACACCTCAATATTTACATCAAAAGCCTAACTTCCAGATTCTATTGTCTTCTAAATATATATATTTAGAATCCATAAAATTAAGCTCAAATGCTAAAGCCATTCAAATTATAACTGCCTTTGAGAAACGTCAACCCTCGAGCACAGACTTGAATTTAACAGTGTAACCTGTCTGTTTCATGTTCTGTAACCCATTTGGTTGTTGTTTTTGTATGTATTCATGTTCATGTATGTTCTTTATTTATAATAAAAATAAAATAAAATAATGTCAGAGACTCTACAGAGCGGAGAAGCAGAAGACATTACAAAGCTCAACTCTTGCCGCAAAGGATTATGGGAGTTCGCAGTGATTCAGTTCCTGGTCGTGAATCTGTTAAGAGTGACACATCTTCTCTCTGTTTAAAATCTCTGGCTCGGCTGCGCTGAACCAAACTCTCGCGATATCACCAACAGATTGGACCAAAATGCCAACGCTCGTCCATTTCCGGGTCCATATGACGAGAACTGGACGAAAGGTGGAGTGAGTCATTACTGAAGAGATTTAGGAGCGCAGTAATTGGTACGAATATCGACTGATTAACAAACCACAGCTGGAGATGATCCGTACCTAGCTAGCTAGCTGACCGCGGACTGACAGCCCTCCAGTCGGGTCACATGAAGAGGATCTGACCGGAGGAAGAGGATGGCGGAGCGGCACCACAAACCTCTGCAGTCAGAGCTGGTTTCACAAAGTTCTGCGACACAAAACAGTTCCTCCGATGAAAACGGACATGTTGACAGTCCGGATGAGACTCTGTCCCCGACCTCCGTGATTTACTTCAAGGAGGCTTTACACTCGTCGAACCTGCAGTTCGGAAGAACCGGTTCGGTGTCAGTGAGCCCGCTTCGGAAGTATGACTTCAAGATCGAGAGAGTTGATTCAAGGCAAAGAAGTAAGTGATAAAAACTTTAAAGGTCCTGTGCTTTGTCATGTACAGTGTTATATATCACGAGTATAGTGTTTTTTATTGTTTTATTTTTTTTTTACTTATCTTTCTTTATCTCAGCCTGTCCTGTTTTCAGCTGCTGTAATGTGCAAATTTCCCCACTGTGGGATCAATAAAGTCTTATCTTATCTTATCTTATCTTATCTTATCTTATCTTATCTTATCT